TGAAGTGAATCACTGGGGGTAATATTGCTTTTGTTTAGTAGGAAAAAAATGATGGGTTTTAAATGCAGTTGTAATCTTCTAAGTGATTATTTTTTTTAAGTTTAGCAATTTTATCCTCTATGAAAAGCCGTAAATGGTTTAAAAACCTGTGCTAGGAATTAAAACATATTGCTGGTTAATGCCAATGGTGTCTTAGACTTAAAAGTACAGCTATTTAGGGGAAAATCTATTTTGACCTTGAAAAAGTTTTACAACATGCCACACAGCTCCCCAGCCCCCAGTTTGGACTCACGTCCTGGAAGGTAGTTCAGGTACCAGCTGAAATTCAACCACAGTGTCCGGAGGGCAATCCCACCAGGATGAGGGGAAGATGCTTGTAGTCTTTCCTCCTTCAAGACCCAGAAAGGGCAACTGATCTGTGCGTGATCTGGGATGGTGTGACTTCTGGGTTGTGATTCAGAAAGTCAAGGAACCTGGTTGAAGGGTTTGTGGAAGCTGAGGAAACTTGCTCATCTACTGATACATCAGCCACAGACTTCACCAGGCCTCTGTCGTGGTTCTGGCTGGGAGGTTCTCGTGGGGATCAGAGACTTGGGCTTCTGGCTGTGCTAAGGGCATAATGCACTTCCTTTGACCCTGGTGTCTTCACGACCTCTGTTCTAGACTCCACGGACCTCATCCTGGCATTTGTGAGCAAGTTGCATTGGAGGGAGACATGGAGTGCTCCCTTCCAGTTCCTCTGGCTTTGCCGTTGAACTTGTGTACTTTTATGTGAAGTCCTAAGGGCAATGGGGCATAGCAGGGCAGTGTGGAAAACTGTGTGGGTCAGGCAGACAGTGGAGATTCTCACTGCGCAGGGGGAACTCAGGGATGCCGGGCAGTGTGGACAGCTGTGTGGGTGAGATAGACAGTGGAGATTCTCACTGCACAGAGGTCCTCAGGGATGAGCTGACCCTGCAGGACCTGAACTATCTCTCTCTAAATGAACTGGAGTCCTCAGCGCAAAGTGCACTCAAACCTTTGTCTTCTGTCAAGTACCAGAACAAGAGTGTAGGTCCAAGATTGCATGAAGATTGGGCGCCAGTCTCATTCAGAGACGCCTGTCCCCTCTGGACACGGCAAGAACGGAAGCCAGAATTAGACTCAACCAGGCCTTGGCGCTGCTGAAATACAGTTTGATTAAATTAACACCAGCAGCTTGTGCTGCACGTGCTTATTGGAACATGCTTATCTTATGAAATGCTGACTCCTTTGATGGAACAGGTTTCTTTTTGGTGCCCTATGAATACAGCTCTTGAATATTTTTCCTTTTCATGATGAAAAGTTTTTCACAAAGATATCAGTGTTAAAAATACTTAGTTATTCTGACATTTTAGTCTGGATTCCAAGATTATACATTTCTACTTTTGTGTGTGATTGCCTTAAATGAAGGGAACCAAGTTATAACCTTAGGACTATAAATAGTGTTCCTGTTTATCTAAGAACGGACTGTTCTTGAGGTGTTTATTGTCAATGGGGGGGAGAGAGAGAGAGAGAGAGAGACAGAGACAGAGACAGAGAGAGACAGAAGAGAGTCATATCTTACCTGGAAAGCACTTCAGCATGTCTGAGACGCAAACACAAGAGAGAGCAGGATTTGTATGGAACAGAACAGTTGCCTAGTTGTGTAAATATTGAAACTGAGGTGCTTTATGCTAAGTGTGGAAGTGGCAAATTTTGTTATCTAAGAAAACCCTGGATCCTACACATGACAGAAATAAACCGAGGTACCACTGATAATTAGCTCGTTACTCTAACTTAAAGTTACTTAAAGCCTTTTTGGCTGAATAAGGAGACGCGTGGCCACCATTGTTTCTGTTGGAGGGAGGGAGGAAGCAACAACAGAGCTCTCTAGTAGTGGAAATGCTGCTGAAATTTCCTGATCCCCAGTGTCAATCTTTACATCTCTGCAGCGGTGGGTCTGGCTGCGTGCCAGGAACCGGCTCTCCCAAGCAACGGCATCAAGATCGGAGATCGATACATGGTGAACGATGTGCTCTCCTTCCAGTGTGAGCCTGGGTACACCTTGCAGGTGGGTCTTTCTCCTGAGACTTTGTGATGGAGTTCAGCCTGGTCGTCTTTGGTGAGCGTTCTCCAAGCTCACGCTCTAGGTTTGTGCCCATGGAGAGCTGCCCTTGCTGCCTTCCCTCTGGGAGTCAGAGCTATGGGACCACACACATTGGAGTGACCCCATCAGAGTCGGCTTTGAAATGCTGAAACACCTCAGCAGACCTGATAATTTTATTTTTCCCATGATTTTATTTCAAAACGTGTGTTGTTCCAGTAGCTATGCAAAGACCATCAGAGGAAACAAGGTAATATCAAAGTCTGAAAACCCAACCTCGCTCTCAGGGATGGATCTGCTGCTGAGGCATGTGCTTTTCCTGCTCTTCAGCCTGATCCCATGAGTCCCTTATATAAAAAAAACCACCATTAGATACTTATGTTGTCCCTAGAACTCAATGATTTCAATAATGTGCGAGAAATGCTTAGGAGTTTTGTTATAAACTTTTAATAAATTATATAAACTGTTCATAAACGGTCTATAAACTGATGTACAGGAAGATCAACCTTTTTCTGCTGTTTTTGGTCTTAATTGTGTTTTTCAAAGTCTAGGACACGGAGCTAAACATGCCCATGTTTCTACCCTGCACTTGACATATGCTTCACTGTCATGTTCTACATAGTTAGTATAGAATTGAAGCCCTTAACTGTGTTCTGCACTGGACTTTACTAAACAGCTGGAATAAGAATCAAAGAAGGAAATGACATCTCTGCAGATCTTTGTTCTCTCTACGTCTGTTGAGTAAACATAATTGCATCAAGTATCAGCCAGCAGCACCTAGCGACTGCTGTGAGACATCAGAATTAACATCCACTCCCAGAAACCACATGGCACGTGCTATGAATAGCTTCATGGTCGGAGGACATGTCTATCTATAAGATACCCAGCGTGCCTCATACATGGAAAATATAGATGCTGGTGTTATAAACAAGTGTTATTTTATATGTGAACAGTGACTTTTGCGAAAGGGCTACCTTTCACAGGCCATAGGGCTTTCTGAATACGACACTCAGCTCCATGACTCCGCCCACAGCGGGTGGTGGACGTGAAGCTTCCAGGAGGATTCTGTAGTTCTGTGACAGAAACACGTGCTTAACTGGGTGCACCAAGACTACGTGGTCCAATTCTGAGACAAGGCATTCTGCTTGTACTTGTTAGAGAATAGAGAACTACAAGTCCTGTCACGTAGGTTTCATATGCAGAGGCACCGCGTGCACTTCGACATGTCTTCCGACGCTCTTTTCCCCTCTGGCTTGCATTATGACTGGCTGGTGCTGTGTAAACACAGTCTCGTTTTCTCCCACGGAAACTACACTTTACCACTCGCTCCTGGCTTCTTCTTTCCACTTGCGGGAGATGCGATCTGCAACTTCAGTTCCCATTCTTTTCTAAGTAATAGCTTAAGGCCTTGAGAGGATAAAGTCCCTCTTCCATACAGGGATTTCTTATCGCACATTGATTGATAAGCTCCTTAGACACACTAGCCTAAACTCACACAAACCTGGCTGCTTATTAGTGTGCTCATCAGATAGAAGCTAAGCTGTGTCTTTACCACCAATAGTGGTAAGCCTGGAGTTTTGAGGTGTTCTCATCCACAAGAACAGAAAGGGATTTGGGCTTCTTTTAAATCGCCAACATGATTTTACTAACACTGTAATGTATTTGGAGTGACACCACACGTAGACTGCAAGTTTCCATGCACAGCACTGTTCCTCTCCATTCTCACAGAGACCTCTGTAACGTAAGGGCCTAGTGAGCTTGATGGGCAAGATGCCCTGATGTCACAGGCTACAAGTCACTCCTGAATATCAAAATGATCTCTGATTCACACCATACATAGACTTGTTTTAATGTTCGTTTAAATGATAGAAACTAAAACATTCTCTTTGGATGAAATCTTGAAATTAAAATCACTGGCCTCCAGTCTTGTTCTTGATTTATTATTGCACAAATTTCTATCAAAATCACTCATCCAAACTATAGCAAAGTCAGTAGCAGAATAGGCTTGAGATCAGTAATAAATGACCATTTTATTGGTAGTCTTCAATAAATATCTTTAAAGGCTTTTCCAACTTATGCTTGTCCGTATTTCAGGAAGAGATTCATTAGATAAGTTTAACGGACCACAGGGTGAGTAAACACATGAATTCAGCAGCACACAGCCCAGAGTGTCTTCTTCAAAAACAAATACTTTCAGCTAGTTGTGCCTTTAATCCTGGCACTTGGGGAGGCTGAGGCAGGGGGACTGTGAGTTTGAGGCCAGTTTGGTCAGCATAACCAAGACCTTGTTTCAAAAACCAAAAGTACAGATAAATAAATAAACAAATAAATAGTAGCAAATTTCTTTCTTTAGAACTACTTTTTAAAATGTCAGGGAATATGAGAAAGTTAGTTTGGGGCAGAACTGACCTAGGGAGCCAACTGCTTGACCTGTGGTAACTGTTGATATAAATTCATGTTTTAAGGGTTCCCAGTATGTTCACATTTAAAGGTTATTGTTTGAAACATCTCAGTGCCATGTGTAGGTGGCAGAGATTAGCAGATTCCACAGAGATGCCCATTGAGTCACGGGAAAGACAACCTAACAGAACTCACCAAGAGGGTCCCTTCCGAGCCCTCTCTTCAACTGCAAGAAAGAGTTTAGTGAAGGTCTCTGCACTGAACCCGCTGCTGTTGGATCTGTAGAAAAGGGGGTTAGATCATTTAAAGTGGGTGGTGCAGCGCTAGCCTGTTTAGAGGATGAGGACGCTAATTTCACTGCAGACCAGCAGCAGCTCGCAGGCTGTGTGTGACTGCAGACTGAACACCAAGCATCCTTTTCTGTAAAGAAGGAAGACTAAGCCTAGACTTGACCTGGTGACCTTGTGGAAAGTTAGCAGAAAATGGGCCGACAGCAGGTACACTGTCACCCCACACCAAGCATCACCTAGTCAGTCTCAACCTCTCAGGACACACACTGATTTGAAGGTGGAATTAGAAAACTTTGACCAATTCAGTTAATCTCCTTTATTTGTTGAAAAGGTCAATAGAGATGTTTCCTTTTTGGTTTTAGTGAAAAGGATCATTCCTGTGTTGATTACTTGATAATTCCAAATGTGATTCATTAATAATTGTTTTCACAGATAGATTTGCAATTTGTGATTACTTTTACATTTTCCAAAGGGACAAAGGGGAAGATGTTCTCTCACATCTCATGCCTGTGAGTTTTAAGGGTTTTCTTTTCACAGGGCCGTTCACACATTTCCTGTATGCCGGGAACTGTCCGTCGCTGGAACTACCCTTCCCCCCTCTGCATCGGTAGGTACAGGAGGCACAGCCTGGCTGAGGGACCCTGTCCAGCCTGAATGCTTCAAACCCTAGTATTATGGACAGATCAGGCACTCTCAAGTTTTGGGGGGCTGTGACCTTCAGTTTTAGCTCCAGGCTGTACGGTTCCCAGCCTCCTCTCCTTGTGCTCTAGCTAGCCTGTTTTCCATGAGGTGCTGTTTAAATTACCCTCCCACCACCCAGAGGACTCTGAGAACACCCACGTTCCCTGTGTCACCCTGTTTACCACAGGCTATCTGAGGGCCTATCTCACTGTGCAGATACTCCCTAACTCCCTCCTCAGTCTACAGGGGCCATCCTGGGCTCAGCTTCCATCATACTCAGAGCTAGACCCCCACATCATACCCAGGCAGCCAGTATTGTCCAGCGCAGCCTCAGGAGAAAGGGTCAGTCTGTGTCACAAAGCCAGTGACCTTGGAGGTCAGGGTTGCCTCCTGGACTGTTTGCCTTGTTCAGGATCAGGATTGCTTTTGCAGAGGACGAGATAACACCGTGTGCCGATCCCCAAGGTCAACAGGTGATGGCTGTTAGGTGTCCCACTGACAGCCCGACTTCCCGCTCCCCAGACAACTTTAAGATAGGCGATGATTTTGAGGGATACAGTGTAACAGGCTTGAATGGAAGTGTATGCAGAGGAAAGTTTACGTATCCAACCTTGGCAGGCCGCACAGAGGCCTCCCTCAGGAATAATCCCCATTTGTATTCACTTTCAAGGGAACATTTTTCAACAGAGACCAGTATTTTTTTGTGAAACATAAGCAAAAGTTGCTGTGTTAACATACCTGCCTCATACAAAGAGCTGCTTGTAGGTTTATACCCCTGCCTTGGTCTAGAAAAAGAACTGGATGAGTGTCTAGGGGGCTGCAATTTACTTACACAGAACACCCATCTTCCCACTTGTTTTCATAGAAACTACCGTCCCTTATGAATAGTGCTTTGAACACTGAGGTAAATCCAACTCCCAGCAGGCATTCAAACAAGGGACCATTATGGCTGCTCTGTGTTTTTGAGAAGTGTTATATCTGAATACTTCCGTTAGCAAGAGGAATTTAACACAATGTGTTCTGTATGTTAGCAAATGCTGCCCTTAGATCAACTTCTGCGCTTCTTGGCAAGGTACACAGGGCGGTTCCTCGCTGCAAAGCTCAAGCAAAACTCGGTATAAGCCTTGAAGGCTGATGTCAGAAATGCGGGCGTTTTGTGGCTCTTAGCTCTAGACTTATCTGAGCTGAAGAAGTCGGGAAAGGGCATCTATACAGAGATAGTATTTTACTTATTAGTTCCTGGAAGCCTTATGTCCTAATTCTTTATAATCACAGTTCTAATGGCGTCAATGTACATCAGCCTCTCTCCAGAGCCCACTGAGTGCCAGGCTCAGTTCTCAGACCCTGACTGTCTCTGAGTGTTTGATGATCACATCAAGCCCCAGAGTGGCCAGGCAGCTTACCTCAGCCTTGGCAGAGTTGGAGTTCACACGGGGCAGGTGGAATGGGAGATGACTTGCACCATGGGGTTTTCAGCAGGATGTGGCCTGTAACATGAAATAAAAGTGCAGAGGACAATGTTTGTACCAAAACATGAGGAATTTGCACAAGATGGTTATATAAATCCAGAAAAATGCAAGGTTTCTGCTGTTCCATGAGGAGACAAACTTGTCCCTTTGAAGCACATGTTTCCTGTTAGCTCTCCAGAGAGAAGCGGAAGTGACATGGGCAAGGTGTGACCAGGAGGTGGACAGGGTTAAAGGGAGATGGGGAAAGTCCAAGAAACTGAAGCCCAACAGCTATAGGGTAGCTTGGAGAAGCCGCTGCTGCCCAACCGCTAAGAAACAGGGCAAGACAGCAAGGGACTCACTGTGTCACAAAGCAGGGTAGACTGACACATCTTCAAGGAGTTCTGTTTGGAGACTCACTTACTGGCCCTTAGTTTTTCAGATGTAGCAAGGTGTGACCAGGAGGTGGACAGGGTTAAAGGGAGATGGGGAAAGTCCAAGAAACTGAAGCCCAACAGCTGTAGGGTGGCTTGGAGAAGCCGCTGCTGCCCAACCGCTAAGAAACAGGGCAAGACAGCAAGGGACTCCCTCTGTGTCACAAAGCAGGGTAGACTGACACATCTTCAAGGAGTTCTGTGTGGAGACTCACTTACTGGCCCTTAGTTTTTCAGATGTACCCCCAAGGCTGCCCACTAGAAACTCATTTTCTGCTTGATGGAGGCATGTCCAGTCCCTAGACCCACATGTGCCCTCATCATACTCTCCTGCTGAGCTCAGGAAGGAGACAATACTGCGAATGGCAGCTGTCACCCAACCTTGGCACGACCTTGTGCTCCTGATGGCCCTGCCTGTCTCCGCAGGGTCCGGCGATCTGCACGGATGCTTGTACGGCATGACATTGGAAACTTTATTTTGTTGTTTTTTATTTTGTTTTGTTTTGGAGACAGAGTCTCCCTGCAGCCCCAGATGGCCTAGAAATCACCATGTGGAGCAGGCTGGCCTTGCTCTCACAGTCATCCTCCTGCCTCCATCCCCCCAAGCACTGGGTTTAAAGGTCGCACCACCTTGCCCCATGCTGGGAATTTTCTTTTATAATCGTGCTTAAAATCTGAATGGTGTCACCGGAAGTGCCACCTTTGCTGCAGACCCTTCTCCTTCTGGTCGCCCTTCTCATTTTGCACATCCTCCCGGTCGCTGAACATGCACACGCACCCTCTTTGCGGTTAGGGTTTCTATTAGGGAGGAGTGCTTTGGTGACTCCTGAGACTGGCCTATCCTCAGTCCAGCGCAGGCCCAGGAACCTCTCCCAAGCCAGAGCCTAGGCCTCACACAGCATCCACACCAAGCTGCTCCCTGACAGGATGCTCTGTAATTCAACCCTGTGGATCTCATCCAAGGCGACAACTGGAACTGTAGCTCACAGCATGAGAAGACACTTTTAATTTTTTAACACTTAGTTCATTGTGTTTATTAATTTGTTACATTTTAAAATATTTTATTTTTGTGAATTTCATTTTGATAATATTTAGACCCCTCCCATATTTGTCTCCCTTTCTAACCATCAGAGTTTCCAAATTTCTGTACTCTAACACACGTGCACACACATGCACATACACAAAGGCTTATAGAATCAGGTTCTGTCCCCAAATCCCCTCAGTGTGGGTTCATCCACTGGAACCAGGTCAATCTACTAAGAGTTTCGACTGGAAGACTCTTCCCCTCCCAGCTGTCATTGGTACCCAGTAGGTCCTCAGATAGGATTGGGTTTCTTACCCACTTCCCCAAGACTGTGTTGGGATTTTGTCTGGCTTGAGCTTATGAGGGACCTATCCATGTGAGCATTGCTGAGAGGTCCCATGAGTAACTGCCCAGCGGTCTGGAAAACTCTGTTTCCTGTGGTCATCCACCTCCCCTTCCTCAGGCTCTTAAGTCTTTCCATCCCTCTTCCACATGGTCCCTGAGCCTCGGGAGGCAGAAGTTTGCTATAGATGTCCTATTCAGGTCAACAGCTTCAAAAGAGGGAGTCCATTTCTGGCACTGAGCTTTTACTTTGCTAACCTATGGTGCCGAGTAGGTTCAGTGTCGCCCTGTTCTAAGGTAACTCCTTTAGTCTCTTTTTGATAATGCATGTGTATATACTTTAAATGGTTTCTATAGTGGCAGGTTTCCATACAGCTCTTTAAAAGCCTTTAGTGTTACTCATCCCTCCCCACACTCCTTCTGCCCTGGCCTCCCCTTCCCCACCCCACCTAACCCTAACCCTAATGATCCCCTTCACTCCTTCATAGCTGTGCATCCTACCACCCCTCCCAGGGAGCTTCTGCCCCACCCACCCATGGCTGCTTATTAGTGTCTTGATCACTCTGGATTTTAAATATCTAAGACTTCAAAGCTAGCATCCACCTATTGGGGGGGTTAAATTTCATTTCAAAAGCTTGGATAGCTTCAATATCCAGGTCGTGGCAAAATCAGGACACATGTAAAATACCTTCCAATATATTAGATTCCCCAAAAGTACAGTAAAATTAACACTTCCATCACAGGGAATGTAAGACACCAATAATGTAAAATTAAAAGGTGACACTGGTTTCCTAAGATACAGTTTTACTCTTTACAATCAGGGTCCACAGGTCTAGGCTGCAGAGTGGCCGCAGGAAACAGACCCTCCAATCTGGTACTGGGTAACCTGGTAATAAAATCGGCCCCCTAATGCCACTCTCGCCTGAGACACCACACGCTGCCTAAAACAACTAGAGCTCTGGAAATAGTAAATGGGAGAGTGATTTCCAGGGGGGGAATTTTAAGTAAGATGCACATGGCACAGGCCATAGAAAGTTTGCTAGGTTAAATTTGATACATAATTGTGTTCATTCTGTATCCCAACAAAGCGTGTGCGGTCGTCAGTTGGCTGTTCCTGCTGCTGTCTCAGTATGGCTTGTAGTTATTCTGATGGCCATCGCGTAGCTGGCTCTTCTGGTAATTTGTACTACCCTGACTGTAGTTGCAGCAGGGGCTGTAGCCATAATAGCCATAGGGCGAGTAGTCGTAGCCCCTATAGCCGGCCCGTAGCCCTGCTGGTAGCCATAGCCCTGCTGGTAGCCGTAGCCCTGCTGGTAGCCGTAGCCCTGCTGGTAGCCGTAGCCCTGCTGGTAGCCGTAGCCCTGGTTCCAACTCTGATTCTGACCTCCACGTCTACCACTGCTTCAGTTCCCTTAGGTTGTGATCTCTGGGTCTGACTTACCTCACTCAGAAAGATTGTTTCAGTTCTGTATATTCACTGAGTTTCATAATTTTCATAATATTGTTTTTTAAAAAAGCAGAATAATATTTGTGTATATGCTCCACACCTATATATGTTTATGTGTATGAGTGTTTTATTTGCATGTATGTATGTTCACCCATGTGTGCAGTGCCCACAGAGGCCAAAAGAGGGCATTACATCCCCTGGAATTGGAGTTCCAGATGGTTGGTAGTCATAGATGGATGCTGGCAACCAAACCCTGGTCTTCTGTAAGAGCAGCCAATGTTCTTAACTGCTGAGTCCTCTCCCCAGTGCACATGTGCGCTCTCTCTCTCTCTCTCTCTCTCTCTCTCTCTCTCTCTCTTTGTTTTGTTCTTTAGCACTTTAGCATACAGAATGTTTAATGCCCAGGTCGTGACTCCCCAGTGTGGCCTCCACTCAGCAGACCTGGCTTTCTCACATTTCTTCACGTGAAATTTGCCCTTGATAAAGTTGTCCTACCTTGAAAAAGGCCCTACTATGCCTCCTCCAGGCTCTCTAGCAGATGCTTTCAAAATTTTCCCAAAGATTGTCATAAAAATAAGAAAATAATTTCACGTAAATGCTTGATAAATGAAATCCTTTGCATTATTAGTTGAAAATTGATGAAATCGCCATTTTAGCGGGTCACAAGTGGTCCCCACTGCAGGTTGTTATAAAACCAGCCATACTTCTTCGTGGGGGTCAGAGGAAACCAGCACCCTGTAGCACAGCATTACAGCATGTGCCGAGAAACAGGGACTTATTACCTTCATGACATGGAATTTCCTGGGAAAGGGGTAGCAGAGAGCTGTGTTTCTCACTGTAAGGCACCCTGAGGGTCAGGGCTGTGGAGGGCACTTGGGCCTCGGAACCAGGCAGAGCTGAGCATCCTGGAGGGTTTTTTTCCAGTCGTGAAGCTGCAGGCCCCTTACTATTATCTGCCTTGGATTCTGCATCTGTCAGGTTGGGGTTCTCTGAATCCAGCCTTTGGGGTCAGCTGCTGTGGGAGTTCAGGGAGGGGACCCCTTTGTGTCTGTACTGTAGGAGTGCACAGTGAACAATCAGTGGATAGGATCCAGCACCATCCTTCCACAAACTGCTGCAGGCAAACTGAAGGCAACTTGATACCTGTGTGAAAGGCACTGATTGAGAGAAATCTTTGCTCTCAAACTTCCTGCAGTGAGACAGGAAGCTAAGGCCCCCGGGGAGCCCACACCCATACCTTGGTTGGCAGGCTACCCCTAGGGACAGACCCTGGGTCTGTAGGCTTGCTCTTCCCCAGTGTGGTCCAGTAGAGTGTTAGACTAGGTGTTCATGCTGATCAGGAACTTCTGTTTAACAGCCACCTGCGGAGGGACGCTGACCAGCCTTGGAGGAGTGATCCTGAGCCCAGGGTTCCCAGGCTCATACCCCAACAACCTGGACTGCACCTGGAAGATCTCATTGCCCGTTGGCTATGGTGAGTGAGACAGGACTTGTTCTGCAGAGTCCACCTTCCCAACGCCACCTCACATAGTCTCACTGGGCAACTGATGTGTGGTATTCTGTTGACTTAACAGTGCCTTCGATTGAAAGCAGGTTTCAGATTTCAGTAAAGTTTCGGCATAATAACTTTGAGAACAGAAAGTTATTAAAAAAGAATCAATTGATCCATGCAAATCTCTTCAAGGCAAATTTAATGCCTACCATGTGCAAAACTTGGCATCTCTAATTCATTATCAATCTCTGTTCAGAACTCTGCCTCTTTGAACCTGGTTCTGGAATTTAGTATTGGTGGCTGTTTCTTTCACATATTTTTTAAGGCTTCCTTGAGGTTGTAACACATACTAAATTTACTATAAGACATAAATTTGAAAAGAAACTATTTTATTAACTTTTTTATTATATATTGCCTTGATTTTTGGTTTATGAAATTTTAAAGCATATTTTGCTATTAACTTTGAGGTTGTCTACATTAGACAACCTCAGAGTACTAAGCACTTGGTGTATGGGTAAGGAAAGAACAGAAACAAGTATGAATCATTGTCCCAGAACATCATGGAGTTTACGTTTTCTAAGCTTGTCCTTGAAGATTGATGTCCAGAATGGAGACAGCTCTAGAGAAAGCTGTAGAAAGGACAGAGGTGACTGCATTGCTCATCAGAGAATAGCTGGAGGTCCATGTGGTGGGCATGAAGACCTTACCTGGCTAGCCAGGCACAGAAAATGCTGTCAGCTAACAAGCAAGTGGAGGCCCTGGCAGGGCAGCCCACAGGGATCAACAAATGCCTCCAACCAGGACTAACTCAGGAGCTACTCAGAAGGCAAAGGAGGCTAGAGGACGAGGCCAGGACAAGGGTCTGTATGGCTTTTCCCTGGAAGACATGAACATCTACACCCTAGATAGGACATAAATGACAGCCCAAAGAGACAGTTCTGCCCAAGTCTAGCTTAGTCAGCCAGTGAATTCATTAAGGTTAGAGGAGTGTGGCTGAAGGATAATTTTCAGGAGCATAAATGTCTCACCGGCAGCTGCTTCACCAAGAAACGTACCCCAGCGGGGCGGTAAGTCCTGAAGGCCACCTGCACAACCTACAGACAGCTCAGCCAGTCAGAGAGCTTCCTGTTCTCAGCAACTATTAATACTTAGAGATAATCGTGTGGAGCCTCCCTGCAAACCTTGTAAGAAGCAGGATTTTCCTGAGACTCACGCCTCACTTGCGTGTCTTAACCGTCCCTCCTCCCTTTATGAAGGGATGTTTCAATTCAGAGAGAATAGCTACACAGCACTCCACCCCGTCCTCCAAATATTGTATTATTTTGTCCCTGTTCCACACAATCCTCTAAGTCAAGAGTGGAGGGTGGGGCTGATCTGGTTATTTTCCTCCATTTTGGCAAGAGTATTAGGCTGCTATGTCACAGCAACTATCACAGAATCTCAGAAGTGTGACTGGGCATGAGTCTTTAACATCCCTTACCATTATAAAAAAGTTTCCTACCCTGAGTAATTGAGGCTGACAGCTGCAGTAATCTATGTATACAAACACAAATGATTAGAAAGCAATTTGACAAACAAATCACGTTTGACTAAAGCAATAGGAGGTTCAAGCCCTCCCCTGCCACTGGCCTTTGTCCTGGCCTGTGGTACCAGATGGAGGGTCCCACCTAGAGGAGCAGACCTTGAATCCAGTCAGAAAGCAACCACATCCACAGCAGTTTTGCCAGGATTGCACCCGCAGGCCCAATTGACTGGCTGTTGCTACTGTAGCATGCGGGTCCACAGCCAACAGGACTGTTGGTAACGACCCTCCCCCGCAGCCTCTGGGGGCCACAAATGAAGTCAAAACATGTAGGGTCTGCAGGAGCACCAGCTTGCCATCAAGATCTGGTTGAAACCAGCACAGGTGACAACAGCCTCCTGGCTCTCAGGGCCTCCCCGGACAACAGCTCACAGGCAGGTGTCCCCTCCTGACATTAGAACTTTCCTTCGGTGACCTTGGCTCTTCCGGGAGCGTGCCTCCTTTAAACCGATGCCTTTCCGGCTCCTTCAGAGACTTCTGCAATCTCTGAGTGAGGCACTCAAGAGTTAGCATTGTGTAACGAACACCCTTACCTTTCTGTCTCCCGTGTCTGGTCTAGACAAGGCATCAAGGCATCATTTGTGTGTCCACTGTCTCAGGGAATGCCGCCCGCCCTGTGTTTTGTACTATTTCCTTCTTTTTCAGTCTGTTTTGCTTGGTGAAATGTAATCTACTGAGTTTCTGGGTCTATTTTCTTTAATATGTGCAAAGGTACAATTAAGAGAAATGCCATCCAGCTATTCTGTCTGTCTTTGTTGGTTTAACATGATCTTTTGTTTTTATAAACCACTATACTGCGATCTCACAAAATGCTGTCTTAAATTATAAAATGCTTAGACCATCTGGTACTATAAGGAAAGTCTAAAATATTTTTTAGAATGTTTTCTAACACACTGAGGACACACAGCAAGCAGGTCAGTTAATATTCATAAATTCCATCAACTAAAACAGAGGGCTTTCTCAGGAGTCGGGGCCAGATTACGATTTAAAGCTTTGTCAAAGTCCAAAGGCAAAAATCCTTTGCACAGTGGGTTCGTCATCGGCACTCGACTTTCAAAGCCTATCTACAACCAGATGAAAGAGTGCTGTGTAAATTTCAGAGGAGATAGTCTCTCAGATTGGCTATAATCATATAGTTTTAAAATATTCTGAGGGTTAATAAAAGGATGACCAGGATGTGTTCATTCTAATCCTTTCATTTGGGCTTTGTAATGTCAAACTGGAGGAAGTTTGCTGGAAATTAGATGACTAAGTAATCCCACTTTAAGCCAGATTAGAGTCAGCTCTGCTCCATTTGCTGATAGGCAGGAGGTGTATGATATATGGCTGATCATCCTTCTTTAAATGGAAATTTTGTTCACAATATTATAATTGACATAATTCAACTTCCTTTTCAAGTTTAATTCCACAGAAGTAAAAACACTGGCCCTATCCTGTACTGCAGAGACATTAGCTGTCTTGCATGTGACTGTCTCTGTATCTGGATGCTGTCTGGGATTTCTTTCTGGACTCAGCTATTCCATGATTTTCAAACTGCTCCGGATAAATACAGGGGAAGTCTGAACGCATACATCTGACGTGCTTATTTTACATTGTCTCTGCTCTGTGAGTCCCACTGTCCCCAGGCTCCCTCCTTTTCCACTGGATCCAGAAATCTGGGGACAAGTACACTTGAAGGTGTCAGAGAAGGGTGTCTGTGGCTGCTTGTCCACTGGCTACTTAATTCCACATGGTAACCTTGACTGTATCCGACAACAATGGAACTCGGCAGACTTTGTGGACACACACACACACATATACAAGAACACATACATTCACAGATATGCATAGGCATATACACAAAACTATAGCTTGAACACATATATACACATATGCACATGTTTGCACATGCATGAACACATACATGCACACCACATGTGAATGAACACATGCACATGCAGCTAATCACATGTACACAGTCATACATGCATTGATACATATGAGCACACACAAAGTCACATGTCCATGCTCATACACATACAGCTGCGTGCATGTACAGACATGAACATAAACATGCATACACAGTTACACATAATCACACAGATTCTCAAGTAAATTTTACTTATTAAATTAAAAACTCATTTTTATTACACTTGTGGGTCACCTCAGCAGTGGAGAGGGAACAAATCAGATACCAATCTAACCCTAATCTCAACTCACCTTGTGATCTCCAAACTCAAGATTTATGACAGTTGGAGGCTGGTGGGCGGGGAGTTCAGAACCAAGAGGCAGAGGAGACAGAGGGAGCACCTGCTCACCGCCTCCCCACCTACCTCTCTTTTTCTTTCTTTCTGTTATTTCGCTGCCTCTGAATTGCTTTTGACCAGAAATAGTTTAGTGGAAACATTAGGATCTCATTAGTGGCTGTCCACAGAAAGTAATACTCGGCCTTTTCAAACACAGAAATGTTTCAGAAACGTTTGAACGGTGGCTTCATCGTCATTGTGCTTAGCACAGGTCAGACTGGCCAAGACTGGAGCAGCCTTAGCGCCCTTGCTGATGAGCTCTTGATCACAGGCTGAGATGCTGTGATACATGGCCAGCACTCACTCACGTTTTAGGGTTTTTTTGGTGGTGGTGGTGGATTTTTTTTTTTTTTTTTTTGAGACAAGGTCTCTCTGTAACCCCAGCTGGCCTGGAAATCACTGTGTAAGCCAGACTGGCCCGACTGCACAGAGATTCACCTGCCTCTGCTAGAATTAAAGGTGTGGGCCTCCACACCCCATTCCTCTCATTCAAATTTTGATTGACTGGACTAATTGAAGATATTTCTTTCTTCTCCTTTTTGAGCTTTTCCTCTTTCTAATGTTTTACACCTTCTTGTTCCTTTCTCCTTCCTCTTTGGGGGAAAGTTGATCAAACTGAATATGAATTGGTTTTCTGTGAGAATGTCTGCTCATGAGATGGTCAGCTTATATTCATGGTCAGCCACAGGAAGTGAGGACTTTGTTGGTCTGAGCTGGGCATAAACCTCACTGTGACCTTTCTTATGTGACAGGAGACACAGCACCTGACTGCTGAATCTCTGTAGTTCACCTACCAAATGACCATGACAGTAACCACTGCCTTCTGGGTGGTTTTGAGAACCAAGACGATAACTTGGATCCCAACATGGTAGCTGTCTTTATGCTAACTAGAAGGACCAGCAGTTAATCTGTGCTCCTTCCACACAGTATCTTCTGTAATTGATGGAAATGCCTTCTTTACAAGGCTGTAAACTCACGACTCCTCTGGACTTGCCCTTCCCCCGGCTCTTCCCCTTCTGGCCGTTCTTCACTCCCACGGTTTTCCGAAACCTCTCTTTCTCTGATGTGTTTCTGGGATGCTCGAACTCTCCTCTGCATCTGCTCTTAGAACAGCCCGTGCAAGCATTAGCTTTTGCTTTCCAACCTAGGACGTAATAGATTTGATGAAAAGTAAAAACAAAACTTCTTGACTGTCAAAACCAAGAGGAAACGGGGCGTGGCTCAGTGGCAGTGCGCGTGCCTGGCCACAGCTGGGTTTGCTCTCCAGCACACACTGGGGGAGAGGAAGGCAGTACAAAGGCAGAATTCTCCTCGAGTTAGGGTTAGACTTCCCAGCTTAGTCTTCCATTGCTCAACCTCATTGCATGGGTCTGTGTAAAAATATCAAACACATTAAAACAGTTTAGCCCCAACATCCAAACTCCCACAGGCCAGGACGCCACAGAAAAATCTCTAATCCGTCTTGATTTGGATTTCCAAGTTATCAGCCACTGCTATTCACACAGATCAATGTGGCCAGTGTTTCCGTATGTTGGTCTGAGTCGGGCTGCTCAATTTTGGATTTGGCCTTGAACTTGAGAGCCACCACAGTGTTCATCAGGCTGCATTTCTTAGGAGCACTGGTAACTTGTTTCACAGACTATAAGTAAACATGAGCCCTCGATGAATCTCCTATGCAGTAATCATCTGGGGACTATATGAGCAAGTCTTAAAAAATTATTACATTTATTTGTGTGTGTGTTTATATGTAAGTGTGCATGTGCATATGTGTGCATGCCACAGACCAAGTGTGGAGGTCAGAGGACAATTTGCTGTGGTCCAATTCTCTCCTTCCACTCTGTGGGTCCCAGAGACTGAACTCAGGATGAGTCACTTTACCAGCCCAAGAACAAGTTCTGAAGTTTGTTTTATGTTTTTTCAGTCACTACTAACTTCTCCTTTGATCAACTTATGTATGATGCTGTATGTAAAGCCACATGTAAGGGTGGTAACCGTGGTAGTGGTACACACTTACATAACCATCCCCAGCTCGGTGCCCACCCTCTTTGCGGTTCAGTTCGGACAGCACTCACATTCACAGAAAACAACTTGTGGATGTGAATTTCACAGACAAAGACCCCACAAAGTTAGACGTAGTCAAGCTCTGTCCTGGAAAATTGTACCTCTCCTCCACCACGTTCGTCTGCCTCACAGAGAAGTGGATGACAAACCTTCCCGACCAGCACTGATCTCAACACCCTCAGGAACTTTCCCTAAGCCTACATCTTTCCTCACAGGTGCGCATATCCAGTTCCTGAACTTCTCAACAGAAGCCAACCATGACTACCTAGAAATCCAGAATGGCCCTCACCACAGCAGCCCAATGATGGGCCAGTTCAGCGGCCTGGATCTGCCCGCATCCCTGCTAAGCACCACGCACGAAACACTCATCCGCTTCTACAGCGACCACTCACAGAACCGGCAGGGATTTAAACTCACCTACCAAGGTAAGCGGCAAGTCAGCCTTAAACACACGCACACCCTGCACTGCATTGAAACAGATCTCCCTGCCAGGTCCTTTTCCTGTCACATTGGTCTCTGACTTGTGATGGGACCATGACTGTCCTGGGACATAGGGCTAAGGACACAGGAGAGAGCTCGGCCCAGTGTAGACATAGCGGCTCTGTCCTCAGTCCCTGCTCTGTTCCTGTCTTCTGTGCTGTCATCACACACCGCAAATCACAGGACTTGTCTGTCACTTCAGCGGTCAGCTGACGGGGGAGAGGCGGCTGTTGCAGACACTCATTCCTCCTGTTAGCTCAGCATGGCATCTCTGTGCCTGCTCGAGCCATGTATGTCAAGTCATCCAGGTAAAGAGGGGAAACCCAGACGGAGATGTCGCCCACCCTTCCAAATGTGAACTCACTGAGAAAGTTCCTGTGTGTTCTTCCCAAACCACCCTTGACACGTGAAAACCTTTAGCATTTGCATTCCATCCAAAATCCTCTGCAGGCCTTCCTCTAAATATTGCTAAATCAAATGGCGTTGAAACTGTCAAATTTCAGGCCTGTTACTGTGTTTTCTCCTTGGCTGAATCTCATGCCTCCCCTGGTTTTACAAACAGTCCTCAGGAAAAGGGCCTTAATATTTTGCTGCTAAGAGAAGCTACTTACACGATGTTGAACTCTTCTGTGTTGTTAGCTAAATTCTCATCGAAAATATAAAATGTTGGCATGGATTTCCAGAACTGGGGCCTCTGAAAGGAGGAATCCGGACAGGAGAAACAGGGAAAGGAGGCCTGCGTCTGAGAGCCCTGAAGCCCCAGCTGTGCCGTCTCTGTGAACACAAGAATCTGCTGTTACTCCCTTCCTAGATTTTTTCCTGAAATCTTTATTTCCTGCTTGAAAGAGTTCACATACATACATACACACCACACACACACACACACACACACGCACACATACCACACACACACACACACACACACACACATACCACACACACACACACACACACCCCACACACCACACACACACACATACACACACCACACGCACACACACACACACACACACCACACGGCACACACGTATGTACACACATGAGTGCATACACACACCACACAG